CATGGGGTAACCTTGTGAAAACCAAGGAACCAGGGGCAGCCAAATGGAAGGAACTGTCGTGTTGGATCAGGAGCCCCCGCCTCCGGGGGGAGGGGGAGCTGCTGGTCTGTGGGCTTCCGTTCATCATGATCGCGCGGGAGGCTCACCCTGAGAGTGCTCGCATCTGAACGGGCGGGCGGCGCTTTTTTCCTGGAGCCAGTGCACATTTATGTTGTGGGAAATGTGACATCTCTTAGAGTCGCTCTGTGGGTCATGACCGTGCTGTTCCATAGCACAGTCGACCCAAGTCTAGAGCAAGAGAGTAACTGAGTCAAACCTTTCTTTTCTGGTTCTCAGGAATCCGAGAAAAAGGGCATAATCGAAAGAATCTACATGGTACAGGATATTGTGTCAACGGTTCAGAACATCCTGGAGGAAGTAGCTTCTTTCGGAGAAAGAATTAAAAAGTAAGTCCGGCATTTGGATCGTGGTGTTGGAATTAGAGCTGCCATTCCCAAGGGCAAGTAGGGGTGGGGAGGGTGAGATCAGGAAATACAGAACCCAAAAGCAGAAGCAATAGTGTCAGGCAAACCCTGCGAACTTTGGGGGGTCTGCTCTTTGGGCTTGTCAGTCGCACCGTTGGGCAGTGCCTCAGAACTGGGGCGACCATATGGCCCAACTTACACCAGCCATCCCAGTGTGATGATTAACGGCATCTTCATTCACTCTCTAAAAGATCCTGGACTGGGTGAGAAACTAGATGGAAAAAATAGATGACCCTGCCCGGCCAGTGTGGCTCAGAGGGTTAGCATCAACCTCTAGAATCCAGGAGGTTGTGGTTCGATTCCCAGTCAGGGCACAGGCCGGGGTGCGGGCTCCTCGATCCCCAGCAGGGGGCGCGCAGGAGGCAGCCGATCAATGACTCTCATCATGGATGTTTCAGCTCACTCTCCACTCCCTTCCTCTCTCTGAAATCAATCAATAAATATATATATATGTATATTTAAAAATAGATGATCCAATTTACAAATAAGATGGGAAAGCAAATATGCTTTAATGGAGTCTTTTTTGTCTGAACCACAGGCCTTCAAAACTGTTTAACAAAAACGTAAGTGACGGTAGAAAGTCGTGAAGTGAGGAGGAGGGCGTCATCATCCTTCATTCATTCCCTCCTTCAACTACCGGTTTTTGAGTTTCAGGCACCGACTGGGTCTGAGGATGAGAAATGCGTCCGTAGCAATAACGGCAGCATTCGCTGATGTCATGCGCCGGCCGGACAGCGTCTGGGCCCTTCGCACATAGCAGCTTCTTTAGGGAGTCACTTGGAGGAATGGGTCCAGCGATTCCAATACCCCTGTGGAGTAAGGACCCGTAATATCCCCACTTTACAGTGATGAACCACGTCACCCCAGGTCACACAGCTAGTAAGCCATGGAGCTCGGAGTCGAACCTGCGTCGCTGTAACGTCACTGTGCTCTGTAATGTCACTATGGTCCAATGAGGGAGGACAGTCATAACGTGATTACAGTTCAGGAGCATCGATGCTAGATGGAGGTGGACGTGATGTGGGGGGGTCTGACCAGCCCAGAAGGAGGTGTAGGAGGGAAACAGAGGGCAGTTCTAACAAAGCAACCGTTTGTCAGCTTCTCTGAGAATCGGGAGAGATAGCTGGGCACAGGCTGGATGAGTGGGGGCCTCAGTGGGTGCAAATCGTTGGGCCAAGGCTCAGTGCCCAAGGCCACGCTAGACGCAGGGACGCGTAGGTGAGGCCGCGTGCCTGTGCCCTAGGCGATGGCACTGGAGCCCTGGAGGTGAGGCAGATCATCTGGGGACTTGAGTGGATTGACAGAAATCAGTGGAACAAGCAAACTGAGGGAGGGAGGTAACTGCAGCAGGGAGGGACGGGAGGCCGTGGCGTGGGGGCAAGACCGAGGCAGGAAGGCCGTGCCTTTGGTAAAACCGTCCCCATGGCTGAACGTCTCTAACAGACAAATGTGGCCGTTGTGCAGCCGATAACGATGAAGGAAATGTGTCTGGCGGGAGAGGAGGCGGCGTGATTGAAAAAGGCCCCCGCTCCGCAGAGCTTTGAGGGCCACTGTGCCCGGCGCAGCTGCGGTGGCCCCGTCTGAGACGTATTTTGGGCCATGAACAGGGCACTGTTCTGCCCAGCTGCGGCACAGGAAGGCTGCGCTCCTATTAATTCTCTGGCCATTCATTATTACAGTGACCTTAATGTCCCCGCTGGCCATTCAAGAGGGATGTCGCGTGTAACTCTGCTGGAATTCCATTGTAATTCACTGCTTAGGGACCAGGAAAACTTACACCCAACTGCCGGCCACCAGCAGATAAATAGCCTCACATAAAACCCCGAGAGCAAGGCTCCGCCAACGGGACGGCCTTGGCACGCAGTGAACTGTATTTTCTTGTTTCTACCTGCTCTAATGTTGTACAGGTTTCAAAGGTGCGGAGAGATCAGGCTAACGTGAGCCAATATGCTGCATCCGTATGGTCCCAGGCGGCAGGCAGGGTGTCGGAAGAGTGATTTATATGTCCTGTCATCCTGCAGTGGTGGCTCCAACCCCTGCGTCCTTGAGCGGTTGGGGGAATGTCCACAGAGGAGATGATATTAAGGTGGACCTAGGACAGGGAAGTGCCTGAGCAAATGTTCCAGAGGAAGCCTTCGAAGGGACACCCTTAGGGACTGGAGCTCCTCTGGCGAGGAAGTGAGGTTAAGAAAGACGAAGTAGGCCTGGCCGGCGTGGCTCAGTGGTTGAGNGTAACTGCAGCAGGGAGGGACGGGAGGCCGTGGCGTGGGGGCAAGACCGAGGCAGGAAGGCCGTGCCTTTGGTAAAACCGTCCCCATGGCTGAACGTCTCTAACAGACAAATGTGGCCGTTGTGCAGCCGATAACGATGAAGGAAATGTGTCTGGCGGGAGAGGAGGCGGCGTGATTGAAAAAGGCCCCCGCTCCGCAGAGCTTTGAGGGCCACTGTGCCCGGCGCAGCTGCGGTGGCCCCGTCTGAGACGTATTTTGGGCCATGAACAGGGCACTGTTCTGCCCAGCTGCGGCACAGGAAGGCTGCGCTCCTATTAATTCTCTGGCCATTCATTATTACAGTGACCTTAATGTCCCCGCTGGCCATTCAAGAGGGATGTCGCGTGTAACTCTGCTGGAATTCCATTGTAATTCACTGCTTAGGGACCAGGAAAACTTACACCCAACTGCCGGCCACCAGCAGATAAATAGCCTCACATAAAACCCCGAGAGCAAGGCTCCGCCAACGGGACGGCCTTGGCACGCAGTGAACTGTATTTTCTTGTTTCTACCTGCTCTAATGTTGTACAGGTTTCAAAGGTGCGGAGAGATCAGGCTAACGTGAGCCAATATGCTGCATCCGTATGGTCCCAGGCGGCAGGCAGGGTGTCGGAAGAGTGATTTATATGTCCTGTCATCCTGCAGTGGTGGCTCCAACCCCTGCGTCCTTGAGCGGTTGGGGGAATGTCCACAGAGGAGATGATATTAAGGTGGACCTAGGACAGGGAAGTGCCTGAGCAAATGTTCCAGAGGAAGCCTTCGAAGGGACACCCTTAGGGACTGGAGCTCCTCTGGCGAGGAAGTGAGGTTAAGAAAGACGAAGTAGGCCTGGCCGGCGTGGCTCAGTGGTTGAGCGTCGACCTGTGAACCAGGAGGTCACTAGTTCGATTCCCAGTCAGGGCACCTGCCCGGGTTGCGGGCTCGATCCCCAGCCGGGGGCATGCAGGAGGCAGCCGATCAATGACTCTCATCATTGATGTTTCTGTCTCTCCCTCCCTTCCTCTCTCTGAAATCAATAAAAACATAGTTAAAAGAGAAATAAATGGGTCAGTAGACACATATGTGAAGAAGAAGAGATACTCCGGGCCCTCAGAGGCCTGCTCCGGGGCATTGGATCGGCGGACCATTTTCTAGGATTGTGCACGATTTCCACAGTGCCTTCAATTTCCCATTCCGTGTTCAACGTCTCCATTCCCACCCGTGTCACAGCAGGCAACAGACACAATTCAGGGAGCCAAGGCCCTGCGAACACATGTCGTAACTTCGCCTACGTTGTCTGTGGGTTGGTCATGGTTTACAGTCAAATCGTCCCGGCCCATTTCAGGGCATTATTTAGCTTCTGTTGTAAATTAGTCTGGACATGCTAACTGTGTTATTAGAAAACATGGAAGGACCATAATAATATCCTTTCTTTCCTAAATATCTACTAGCAGCCGTGTGGTAATTGAGATAAATATTGGGTTTGAAACGACCTACACGACCTTGAGTTTTGAAGATCTCCGTGTGCGGAGCCATGGTGACAACATTGCAGTTTTTATCTGCTTTCGAGAGCCACAGCCTCCCCTTTGGAGCTGCGGGTTGGGGAAGCTCAGGGGCGGTGGATCTGGAATGTTTTCCCGGGGCCCGATCTTTCCTGCAGACGTTCACCTCTCGGTTTTCAAAGACACTTTTCCAATAGACTGTCTTCATTTGCTAAGAGCTAAACGTGACCCGATCAACCCGTGTAGCTGTCCCAGCCCTGTGGACGGTGACCTTGGTGTGTTTCTCCGCAGCACGTTTAACTGGACGGTGCCGTTCCTCTCCTTCCTGGCCTGCTTGGTGCTGGCGGCCGCCACCGTCGCTCTGTACTTCATCCCCCTTCGGTACATCGTTTTAATCTGGGGTAAGTGTTGCTAGCCGTTGGCCCCAGGTAAGAACCAAGGACTCATTTTTAAAGCAGGACTCTAACCTTGAAATGCGCTCCTGTCGGCGATTAAACACGAGGTGAAGGAAAGCACGAAGGCGACCAAACTCTCAGGACCTCCCGGATGGGGCCGGTTGCCTGAACGATCAGCGTAGCTATCGGAAGGCCTGTTGCCCAACTGGGGTCAAATAAAAATGGGATTGTCCCTGTGATTTCCCTTCCGCTCTCACAGCCATAAATTCTCTTGAATAATGTGTTGTTGTGGCCCAGTAACTTTCAGGATACACTGTTATTCGAACAGTGAGCAGACACCTGCGCTGTGCCCCTGATTTTATGTAAAAGTAGCCAGGTTGCTCCTGACACTTGATCTCTTTTGCAGGAAAAAATAACCCAACCCAGCGCTTAAATCCAGAAGCATTGGGGGCAAGGGAGGGCCTCCCAGTGATTCCCTGAGCAGTGCCAGAAAGGAGGGGGAACTGTTACTTGCCAGGGGACGTGGTGCGCCCATGTCCAGTTTAGCTGCTTTAAAAAAGTAGAAACAAAAAAAACGGCCAACTTGGAATAAATGTCACGGCTTGATTTGCTACTCCAGCTAGCGCCTGGACAAAATAGGAGCAGCTCTGCGAATACTGGTGACTGTTGCCGGGTGGGTGGGCTCTGGGTTGATGTAAGGAGGGCCTGTCGCAGGAAATTAAGTCGCAGAAACCACCCGCCTTTCTCCGCGAGGGCCCGTGACAGCTCCGGTTTTCCGTGACTCGCTCCTGTGACTGCTGCTGAGCCTTCAGACATCGTCACTATTGGGGAGCTCCGGATAGTCAGCGGATCAGAGAGGTTGCAAATACAAGAGACCCCTACGAGGTGCACTTACCTTTAAGCAAAAGCTGAAAGCGTGCAAATGCGGGATAAAGCCACAGCCTTTCAAAAAAGATTAACTGCAGACCTTTTCAAAGAGAAAAGCCACAGGGGAAGAATCCTGATGTCAAAGGCAGCCAAACCTAGACGCGCAGAAATGGGAAAAGTCAGAGGAAGATAGAACAGCCCTTAAAGTCTCAGAAGGAGCAGGGTTTTAGGAGAACAGGGCCCGTTCAGCCTCTGTTCTGTGCGGGAGAACCATGACTTACCCGTTTGTATCTCTGTCTGTTAGCACAATAGCTCTTGCGTGGAAGGCCCTCAGTATCTGATCCGTGAGCAAGGGCCTTTCCCCCCGCCTCCCCGACCCCCACCCACGCACTGCAGTCACCCATATACTTAAATATCTGAAAACTGCGTTACAATTCTGTTTCAGGCACTTATTCCCTAGTGGCCACACGCGCAGAGCAGTCACGCGATGTTTCCTCTCT